GGGAAACTTGTCACGGAAACTTGTCAAGGGAAACTCCGGCTTGTCAAGGAAACTTGTCAAGGAAACTTGTCATGGAAACTTGTCAAGGAAACTTGTCAAGGAAACTTGTCGAGGAAACTTGTTAAGGGAAACTTGTTAAGGGAAACTTGTTAAGGGAAACTTGTCAAGGGAAACTTGCATTCAAGGAAACTTGTCAAGGAAACTTGTCAAGAGAAACTCCGGCTTGTCAAGGAAACTTGTCAAGGGAAACTTGTCAAGGGAAACTTGTCAAGGAAACTTGTCAAGGAAACTTGTCAAGGGAAACTTGTCAAGGGAAAACTTGTCAAGGGAAACTTGTCAAGGGAAACTTGTCAAGGGAAACTTGTCAAGGGAAACTTGTCAAGGAAACTTGTCAAGGGAAAACTTGTCAAGGGAAAACTTGTCAAGGGAAACTTGTCAAGGAAACTTGTCAAGGAAACTTGTCAAGGGAAACTCCGGCTTGTCAAGGAAACTTGTCAAGGAAACTTGTCAAGGGAAACTTGTCAAGGAAACTTGTCAAGGAAACTTGTCAAGGGAAACTGTCAAGGAAACTTGTCAAGGGAAACTTGTCAAGGAAACTTGTCAAGGGAAACTGTCAAGGAAACTTGTCAAGGAAACTTGTCAAGGAAACTTGTCAAGGGAAACTGTCAAGGAAACTTGTCAAGGAAACTTGTCAAGGGAAACTGTCAAGGAAACTTGTCAAGGAAACTTGTCAAGGGAAACTGTCAAGGGAAACTGTCAAGGAAACTTGTCAAGGGAAACTGTCAAGGAAACTTGTCAAGGGAAACTGTCAAGGAAACTTGTCAAGGGAAACTGTCAAGGAAACTTGTCAAGGGAAACTTGCATTCAAGGAAACTTGTCAAGGGAAACTGTCAAGGAAACTTGTCAAGGGAAACTGTCAAGGAAACTTGTCAAGGAAACTGGTCAAGGGAAACTGTCAAGGAAACTTGTCAAGGGAAACTGTCAAGGAAACTTGTCAAGGAAACTTGTCAAGGGAAACTTGTCAAGAGAAACTTGTCAAGGAAACTTGTCAAGGGAAAACTTGGTCGTCTGTACGAGGCTTAATCCAGGTTTGACAGTATTCTAAAATCAGATTGTTTTGCATGCAGGCAGGAGTAAGAGAAGGGATTACAGCTGGAACACAGTCTACATTACAAGATGGTTTTAACTGTGGTTACAAGGAAGCATTTCTTAAATCATACAATTTTGGCAAAGTCAGGGGAATGTTGAGGTAGGCATTTTGCTTCTGGGATATTACAAAATCTAGAAATAGGAGACAAAAAATGGAAAGCACACTGGTATTAAAGTGAAAAAATAACGTATAACCTTGTGCATGCATGAAATCTTGAGTGGGTTCTTGATTAGGAAATCCGCGTGTGGGTTCTAGTATATAGCAGTAGCGTATAACGCGTATAGTAGTTGCGCTAAGGGACCCCCGTCTCGAACTGAAAAGTCCCCTCTCCCTTGGGATTCGCCAGTTTATATAATATTGTGATACAATTGCAATTTCGTTACTTTCGTTTTGCAAATTCGCCCATAACCCTTCCAAAAACTACTTAAAAGTTATTGAATCCCAAGAAAGACAGAACCCCGATATCCTAGTTTGGCGGTCCTGCTCTTCCTTTAAGAGTTACGCCACTGTATTTGAGGCCAACCGTACAACTTCCATTGCAATTGCAGAACAGCGCGCCACAGTTAGTAGGAAACCGAGAAAGCTGAGAGCTAAACTGATTTCTGGAAGACATAGCCACCGCTTGCGGGCGCATCTGACAGCCACAATCGTAGGTTCGATTCTAGCTGCAACTCATGACACTTACGTAAAGAGTCCGTCAACGCTCTACCGAAAGTCGTGGGGTTTTTTCCAGGGACTCTGGTTTCGTCCTACAAGGAAGGTCAACAGGGACCTAACGGTTTGCTCTATGCGGGAAACCATGTACAGTATACTACCTGAAAATATAGCAAGAACTTCGACTATTAACATCCAAACGAAGGGCCTTCGTTCCAAACGTCGAATTTCTTGTTATATTTTTCAGATAGTATGATCCTGTAAACTCTCACATATGGGTGGCGCAATCGTCAGAGCACGCGCCTTTCATCTCTGATATCGTGGGTTCGATTCCCGTTGTGGACGTTATATATGATATCCATGTGAAAAGTGTCTGTCAACGCTCTGCCGTAAGTCGTGGGTTCTCTCACTACGTACCGGAGTACCACTCCGGTTTCCTCCCACCGGGAATGTTGCCAGGGTTGGTTGGGATTAGCCCCCTAAGCCGCGATTAGCCCTAAACTAACCCTTCCATGGTAGCTGTGCTCCGTGATCAGACGTGAGCCATAAGGCGGCTGCCAGAGGCGCCCCCAGAAAGCCTTCCACTCGATCACATTGAGCTGTGTCCTTCGCAATTCAGATTGGCTGCAACTAAGGATAATAAGCACACCCCTACTTACTTACTTAAATGCTTAACCATGCATGATTAATATAATATGTTATATTTACTGAATGATTAATAATAACCTGTTTTTCACTTTGCGAGCCTTACTACTTTACTGAATTTCGTTTAACATTCTTATTCTATATCAAGTGGCCTCTTGTCATACGTCTCCTTGGAAAACAAACAGGAAAACTGTGACAACGAGAAGTATAAAGACAGTATCAACAAATTAATATCCGAACTTGACAATATTGAGGAACATCATTGGAAAACAACGAACGATACTACATGGGCGTCAACGACAGATAGCGAGTCAACAGTTGGTAAAACGTGCCACAGTACTAGTGCTGATAGTGCAATTAAACAACGACTGACAGTGAATGATTCATCAAAATTTAAAGAATTATTAATACAGTGCAGACTTTTATGTGACGAACTAGGTTTAGATCCTGAGATTGCCAGAATTTCATCTTAGGCCAATTGCATTCCTTAGGCCAAAAAAAATATGTGGGTTTCCGGTTTCTTCTTATAAAAACTTAGGTAGGGTAGGTCGGTTTTAACTTTTTTTTTAAATTAAACTTTTTTTTTAATTTTCGTAACAACCGGACGCCATTTTGTTTAGTCAGTGCTTCCACATCCAAAGATAAATTTCCCTAATATTGCCTCAAATTTCAATTTTCCACAAACGTTTTCCTCTAAGTGGAAACACTTACAAGCACGATCCAATAAAAAAGTTTAGGGTCGGGATTTCGACGTCCAAAAGCTAGGTAGGGTCGGGAAACCGGAAACCCAGGAGCAGCTGCAACTATAGGCCTTCTAGTGGGAATGGAACCTGTGGCCCTGCGACTCCAGTGCAGCGCTCTGACCAACTGAGCTACAGAGTCTACTAGTCCAGTTCACGTGCATTCATTTATACTCGAAATATCCATCCACAAAAAACTCTTTATCATTTAGTTCTGTCGAGTGAGTTGCCCAAAATCCTGATATTTCCCATATATCTTTCACTGGCATCACCTTATCTATACATGAACGTATGGTTAATGCTCGGCAACTTCCGCAATCGCAGGACCGCAGGTTCGATTCCTGCTAAAGGGCCTGTAGTTGTATTTGCGCATGCACGCAGTCGTTTCTGGTTAGGTCTAAAAATGTGTATAATGTACACTCGAAATTTCCATCTACAAGAAAACCCTTCAACAAAGTTTTGAAACTCTATCTATATTATTAACAATATTATTTTTGAATTGAATTACGTATATAGCGTAATTGATTCATTTAATTCGTTTAATTAATTTAGGCCCCAGCGACATGATATACCGGATTCGCTTCACATCGAATTCTATGACCTATGGATTTTCAAAATTTTTTCCAGTGAAAAGTGCGATAATATGATAAAATAAAACGAAAACTATTAAAGTGGAAAATTTTGTGGACATGCAGATGACTCCTGAACGGCATACATATATTAGGTCGTAAAAAGAGATTCCGCTATCGTGTAACTGGGGGCTTCATTTCAAATAACATGGTGTATGAAAAACATGCAGTATTGCATAAAAAATGATAACCATTGATAAAATTGCCTTCACCTTAACTTTCATGGCAGAGAATGTATAGAAAATATGGTATTTATACTACGCCTATAGCTAAGGATGATTGCAACTCTGATTTCTGTATAGGTACAAAATTGAGGCGTTCTTGTTACAATTCTATTACAGTAAGTGGTATTTTCCGTCCGGAACGGGATTTCCTATTAGTATTTTCACTAGTCTGGACGAGATAAAGAAACTTTTACCGGAAACAGAAAACCCCATCTAACAGAGAAACGACCGACATTAAATGAACGAAGAAAGTACATTAACTATCATGCCCAAGGAGTGACCATAGAGATAAATACTATCTAAAATTCTAAATAACTAAGAAAATCGTCATATTGATAAGTATATTGTCGTGTCTAAATTGCATGGGTAACATATAGTTCTTGTTTGGTTTGTAATATATAATAAGTATATTATTTGTGAAGCATCATTAGGAATACAGTGGCGTAAATGGCAAGGTTTCCGTTGGTTGTAACCTACATAAGGAAAAACACTATAATTATAAATCTTTGGAAATCAGTGGAGGGTTTCAAAAACCTTATTTTTGCTATATGCATTTACGACATCATCGTGTTAAATAAACTTGTACCACGACTCACGAGCCTATACGGCTACGTGCTTGCGCAATATCTTTTAGGGAATATTGTGTATGAACTTTGGGAAATCACGTAATGGCTTCTATATAAAGTTGAATTTTACAAAAACCTCAAATTGCAATTATGCACGATTCTTCAACCTTGTGCAAAGTCGCTCGTGCATGTTTTTTCCATGCAAATTAAACTTGAACCCGTAATATTACCTAATTATAATGTACCATGCAAGTACGATATTTTAACGCCGATTTACACTACACAACTTTTGCCTAAAACTGTTGTATGCAAGTAATGCAACCTGCTTACAACTTGAATTGTACTGTGTAAATCAAGCGGCTGGTTCGCAGCCCTGATCTCCGGCTGTGCTAGCTTACAGGTTGGGTATATAGTTCAACTACAATAGAGCAGGATATGTGGATTATTTTCGGGTTGGCATGGTCGCGTAATTTTCAAAATGTGTGTAAGTGATTTTTTGCCTTGAACAAAAACAGACGTGCTTGATCAATAACACTCGCCCAGTCAAGGCGCACATTTTGTGCACAAGGCGCACTGAAACAACTGCAGTCAAATGGCATCAAGTGTTGTTTAGTCTGCGTAGCAGCCGGTTTCTTAATTAAGCAGACGTTTGCAAGTCATAGGAATGAACAATAATATTTATTTTTCAAGACAAAAGCATGCAATAAAAGAATATTGTCTGTCTTTCACTAAAAAATGTCGGAACTCCGGTCTCCGGCGGCCAGCACTAATTCCACAATCATGCAAAAAGGTACTTATTATTCTCACCAATTTTCTTTGCTCCATTCAGTGTCTTCTTGTTCAACCACGTGGAATGTGTAAATGTTCCGTGATATGTCTGATTTGTTTGGTGCACTGTAATGTATCACTTGTCCGTGAATAATCACCATTGCACCTGGATAAAAACAATGCTTAATTAAATTAAACCATTTATCACTTATTTACTGAGACCGAGGGAAACAGTGTGTTTTGTGGACCCGAGACCGTCGCGAAGGCGAAGCCGAGGGAAACTTCGACGGTCGAGGGTCCACAAAACACAATGCTTTCCCGAGGTCTCAGTAAATAAGTGTTTTATTATATATCAATAGTCAAAGAAACAACAAATTAAAGAACAAATGAACGTAAATACATGAAATATTTTATTGTTAAAACGTTATATTAAACACTGGCTACACTGCAGTTACATAAAGCGAAAGTTTTAATTACTAGGCATGTCCAAAGGTCGCATCTTCACGTGATGGCGCACGTAATTTTTTTTGTTATTCGCCGGTCGATAACTCTTACTTATATCACACTTGCGTCGGTTTTCTTTGTTCGTCCGAGGTTTATAACTAGCTTATAGACCTTGAATAAATGATTAGATTAAACTTGTAGACAAAACGCGAGAATTTTTCATTAAAAATTTTTGAAAATGACAAAATATGTTGGAAAACCTCCGCAAGTGTGATATAAGTTAGTTATAAACCGAGTAGGAGGTTTATAACTGATATATTGCCCCTCGGACGCTACGCGTCCTCGGGGTCAATATATATTCAGTTATAAATATATATTCAATATATATTCAGTAATTACTAAGCACTCGCGCTGTTGCGAGGGAGACAACCTAATTTCGTCACTCTCACGTGATATGCTCTCAACCAATAAAACACTAGAAAAATGCGACTTTGACTATTGATATATAATAATACGATTTATTTTATACCAATTAAGTGTCAAAGTTCATGTATTCTTGCATTTCATTGGACGAGGGCGTATCACGTGAAAATCCTGAAAGTCTCCTGGCAACAGCTAGGTCTGAGCGGTGAACAATACTTCTATTATCGGTGAATAACTGTGAATAATAAAAACTAAGTTATGGAGGAAAATTTTTTTGTTTTCTTTGAAACTTGGCATATAATAAGATTAATATATCTTAAGCCGTGTTTACACTACGAGCCTAAGCCTGGCCTGGGCTTTGAACTAGATTTTTGCAGTGCAAACGCACTTTGGGTTCGCCTAGACCAGGAAATCTAGTCCACCTGTTCTGATGGGCCCAGATTTCCTGGCCTAGACCAGACCGAAGTGCGTTTACACTACAAAAATCTAGTCCAAAGGAAGGCCCAGGCCAGGCTTAGGCTCGTAGTGTAAACACGGCTTTATATTGACTGGGACATTCGGGAAACAGTATATTTTGTGGCAGACTTGTAGAAGTAGCAACAATCAGTAAATTCACATCAAACAAACCACACGACTTCGAACGTTTTAACTGTTAGCGTGTTTATGAGTAGTTTGTATTGTTGTAAGCAGTTTGAACAACAACAGCGTGCTGGAATGCTGAAGAGAATACAATTTATAGTCGCCTTTGTCTTAGAGTAAAATTCAAGTTTATACTGAGTGAGTATACCTGCTTTTACTTCAGCGGGAACAAACTTGCTCGAGTCAAAATCAATAGCAGGACCCTTTAACATTGTTGAAAACTCTGATACTGATGGGTCACGAACGAAACGTTGTATAACACCATCTGTGAACGATAAATAAATAAAACAACCATAAACCAAACAATAACCCCCCTTCTGACCTGTCGTGTACTGTGGTGATCATAGTGAAGACAAATCATAAATTCTGGTAACTTCTGTTTATCTTACTGGATAAATTACATTTGTGTCCTGGGGGCAAAAGTGAAGGACATCCAATTATAACTTGGAGTTTCACTACATATAGCAAAGAAAATAATCGGGAAAACGACTGCAGGGTACACATTGACCTATTTCGTTTTGTTTAAGGCGCTCATGAAGTAGCGTTCACTTTTTCTTCATTGGAATGAGCGCTTAAACCATAGGCAGCCCAGCAAATATTTGTTGTTATGAAGGAACTTGGGTTCGTCTGCATAACATATGTATTCACTTAAAAATGCGTTAAAAACACTTACAAATGCGCATAAGGTATACGCCTGACTTTGCTATCAAGCGATAATATTGTGTAGCTCATTATGTATGCAATGACGTAACCATGCGAGTCTGCATATACATGATAAGCTACACAATAAAGCGCTAGATAGGAGTGCACCGTAACCATTTTTTTAAGATCCGGCCGGAACCGGGTCTGGCCGGAACTGGAAAAAAGTTCCGGCCGGAACCGGAACTGATCTATTAAGCCATATATAGTTATATGTTACTTTGTCTGCTGCCAGACAGGCAGACAGTTCACGTCATCAAGGAGAGAGCTCGCAAATGTTAGAATAAAAAGATTGACAAACGCTAAACGTCTTAATGAAGTGTTAATGGTGTATATATATT